CAAAGGTTCTGGTGGCCACAGCCTTCCAAGAAACACATGAGTCGAGAACACTTTATGATCCGAAGTAGGCTGTAGTGGTTCAAGTTTAGGCCATGGAAAGGCGTCCTAAAGCCACCACATTCAAAAATGGTCCCGCGGATCAGCACTTAAGGGCTATCTCAAGCCGTTTGCGTCTTTTGGAACCGCACAAGGGCTTCACAATGCGCAGAGCCCAAGATGATCTTCAAATGCTCAAGTTCACGGCAGTGGGGATCAGGTTTTCCAAGTTGACGCCACACTTTCACCTTAGATGTGAAAGCTGCACAGGCAATAGGCTTTGGAGTGATGGGAGTGGTAGGGTAGGGACGATATCGAAACAATATATCTCAGAAAGTGTTGAACCTGCATGGATTTATACAACAACATGCACAAGCCCACACTAATCTTGTGGCCAAAGGACCCAAATCGAAACCAGAGCCACATTGGTGCCATTGCATGGGGTCTCCCGTGCGAAGTAGCAAATCTGGCTCCCACCCTTGAACCTTGTACCCGCCCTGCTGCCTTTCCAATGGATGGAATTGGACAGATCGTCCTGCACATCGATCTGGGCATGGTTGTGGTTGTGTTTCTCCTTCATCCCCAAGGTCCCACACGCTTGGCAATCCTTCAGGCATTGAAGGCAACTTTCGATGGCCTCAGCCCTCCATGTCTCAGGATCTGGTAGATCCGAAGCAGGTTCTTCAGGCTTCCGGGATCTTGCATTGGACTTTGGTGCAGCCTTCGCCTTTCTTTTGGGAGCTGGTTTGGCTGACTCGCTTTCGCCACCCAGATTACCACTCTCCCCATCATTTCCCTCTTCCTCAACCTGATTTTTTCGCTTGCGGGTAGCTGCCTTTGGTACAGGTGCGCCAGGGCCAGGCGCAGAAGCATCCTTCTTGTCTTCAGGAGCATTGTCGTGGTGCTTCTTGCATCTGGATGTCTTGGGCACAGCTGCTGTAGGCTCTGCCTCTGGTGTATCACCAGAATCAGGAGTAGAGGCTTTGCGTTTTCGCGTCTTCGCGGCTGGTGCTGATTCCTTGGGCGAACCCTCAACATGCTCAGCATCAGCTCCTGAACCATCATCTTGCAAAGAACGGACCTTTCCGGATCCAGAAGCACGGGATCCAGAAGCACGGGCTCTGGGCTTGGCCTTGGGTTTGGACTTGGCCTTGGGTTTGGCCGCGGCCTTGGGTCTGGACTTGGCAGCTGTTCTTCTCCCTTTAGCTGTCGCCTCCACTTCCTGTCCTTCATTCCCACCCTCTCCTTCCCCCTCACCTGCATTCTCATCTCCCTCTCCTGTGCCCTCACCTTCATCTTCTTCGTTTTCATCCTGTACCTTCTTCCCTTTGCCCCTGCCCTTTCCTTTCCCAGATTTGTTCTTGTCTTTGTTGGCACCCTTGACAGTGAGTTGGTCGCGGCGGGTGGTGAGACCAGTGAACTCCACTTCAGCAAACTCCGGGGGCTTTTCCACTTCCACCTCCGAGGGCTTTTCCACTTCCACCTCCGAGGGCTTTTCCACTTCCACCTCCAAGGGGTGATGAAAGAGCCCGTTTAATTTACTGACACATGGTCAACATTGGTCAACAAAGAATGAAAATGACTATAGAGACTCTAGAAAATTGTTCTTCTCTGAAATTTGTGCCCTGATGGATCCCATGCATACTGGCTTAGAAGAGGCAAAGGTTAGTACCATGCATCTCCCATCTAGCCTCGCGCTGCTCAGGAGGTGATGGGGCTGGCTGAGTCTTCGCGCCACCACCTTCTTTGCTAAGGAGCTGCTGCATTGAAACTGACTGTAGCCAATGTTCCGAATCTACGGGCTGGGTGCAATCATTGTCTCCACCATATGGCAGGGAATCCATTACCACTAGTGAACTAGTGGCATTGCAGGTCCTCACATATGCATGGGCCATTGTGCGGTGAACATGCAAATATGGAAGGGCATGTAGGCACATATCGTGCAGGCACATATGATGAGAACCTGTCAAGACTGTCATGTACCCCCCAAAAAGGTGGAAAAGATTCCAGTCCCACCTCCTTCCTGTTTTCTGCAACTATCAATCGATCCAAGAAGCCATCAGTGGCTGGGCGGAAGAGCTTTTGCAAAGCCGGGCAGGTTTGTAGCAAAGGATTCGGAGAGCCACCAGACCTCAACTGAAATTTGATGTAAAGTTGGGCCCTATACAGGCTTGACTGAGGTTGCGAAAGTGGTTTGAAAGATTGCCGTGTCGGGATGCTAGTCACCCCCCTCAACCCTTTACACATCTTTTATAGCTCAGTGGCATGCAAAGGTCACTCGTGTTTGTGTTCGCAAACAAGCGGCAAGTTGAGTTCGTTGAGTATTGCCTGCAACTCATCAACCAAGACGGTCTTGTCCACGGATTCCTGCGGCCACGTGTCACGGAAAAGATATTGCAGGCACCAGAGGTCAATCAACTAAAGTTGACAAGCGCATAACCGGTGATAGAAAGCAATCCAAATTAGCATCACCGGTGCCAATTGCACCTAAACCCACAATCAGTCATACGTGTTTTCACATGCCCGGAAAATGTGTTTTTGCTTGCCACCACACCCAGCTTAACTTGCAATATGATGAATGAAGCATGGATAGTCCTTGGCACCTTCACCATGGGCACCTCCCTTGCACTCCTCATCAGAGTCCTGCACATGGCAAGGTTAGGGGTGGTCCTGGATGGGAAGGTCAGGGAGTTAGATTACCAGCTTCAAGCCACTACCGTGAATTCAATCGCTCATGGGGAGCAGCATAGGTCTAAATAGGGTGGTGGATATCATTTGAAGGTTTCACTCACTCCTCATTCCCAACCTGCATTTGTCCCCCAACCCCCCAGAAGTCCTCTATGATGCACAGTCCACGCTTCAGCTGCTGATGCTCAGTGTGTTGCTGGCTAGGGGCTGGGGGGACTGGTGCAGAGGCCATAGTGCTGTGTGTGGTTGGATCTTCAAACATTGATGGTGCTTGAGCGGCTGCACCTTCAGCTACCAATGTTTGCTGTCCACCTGGTTGGCTTTCAACTACCAGTGTTTGGCTTTCAACTACCAGTGTTTGGCTTTCAACTTCCATAGTTTGGTTTGTTGACGCCTCATCAGCGCGAGGCAGTGTTACCGTAACCTCAGCTGTTGGTGGCATGTGCACAAGTGCGGCTGCCCTGGCTGGTGTTGCTACTGGTACTGTTTGGCCTGACTGCCCTTCGGCAAGGGCCTTGTTGAACCACTCATCCTGGTTTCGAGTTGCTTCATTCAGGAGGTCGTGCTTCAAGACTTCCTTTGCATGTTTTCGATCATCCAAGAATTGTTTTGTTCTCATGGCTGCGGTCTGGGGCTTGTATTCAACTGGCTTCGCCAAGACCTCTGGGGAAGCAGCGTTGGCTGACTGGTGCGGCGCCGTAGTGTCGTTGTCGGGCGCAGGAACGGGTGCAGGAAGGGGTGGCTGCTGCTGGTGCTTTTCATGATCGCCAAGGTCCTGAGGAAAATGCAAGAATACACTGGCCCTCACATTTAAATACTGTGTTCATGTATGAAGCTGATAAACTTGACCGTGACGATGAAGATTTGCTCACCATATGAACGATTATGTTGTGGGACTGTTTCGGGTGCCTTCTTTTGGCAATGCATTGACACCGACGGATTGAACAGTCAACAGGTCGGCGTTGTGTTTGGGTGTCACATGTTCAAAGCTGTCCTCAGCACTGCGGGCCCGCTTCTTGACAGCCAAAGCCCCATCATCCTGGGATGATCGGGTGGGATGTAGGCAGGGAATGGCCACTCTCAAAGAATCATAGCATCCCATATATAGTGGCTTTTCCACTGGCTAGAAAGGTGTTCCCAAAACTCTGTCCTTGATCTCCAGGAAATCTAGATCCAGCAAAAGCAGCTGCAAATCTTTGTCCTGAGGTGGGCGGTCAGTGGGTTGAGGGTCCAGCGCCCGTGTCCAAAAAACACTTGATCGCAGATAAGTCTGGAAACACAAAAGGTTTTATACTGACCAGAATGGAAAACAACATAGTGCACATGAACATGAAACATGCATATGTTACACCATGCATGTCTTGGTCCTTCGGTAACCTTGCTTGATCCTGTATGGTCTTGAAGGCGACACTTGCATTGTACAAGGAGAACATTTGTTGAACTTGCTTCTCCAGGACATCTATTTCAGGGACCTTTCTATGTTGACTCATCAACTTGCAAACTGGTCGCAAGACATCCTTGTTTGCTTTCACATTGAACGTGCTTCTCTCCACTGAGTGGTTGGTTTCCCGCTTCAACTTGTGGTCATAGTGAACCAACAAGTTTTGACCTTCACGTAGGCGGTGTCTGATGGAAGGCATGTTGTCCCACATCAACGCCAGCCCCTGAAAGATCCCTGCGTTTGAGTCCTCTAACACTGCTGAAGGCACCACATCGTTTGCAGTGTCTGAGCTCGCCATGATGCGCCCCAAATCCAATCCACGCCCCACTGTAAGCCACTGGTGCGTGGGCAGGACGTGAATCGATGAGTGAGGTGGAAGCGAGGTGGAACTTCCAGAAGCTTCCAGAACATGTTTCTGTGACATGTCTTCTCAATGCATTTATTGAAAATGGCCATGCACAGCAACAAAGGTTTGAAGTTACATGTATAGCTGTGGCTGTTGCCAATACACTAACACATCGTAATACCGACTTGGTTGCTTCTGGAACATCGTTGCATGCAAAGGCATGGGGCGGGGTGGCACCTTCTAAAGGTCTTCAAGCGGCAAAAGCTGCTATGGCAAGTGCAGCAATGGCGCATTTGGAGAAAAGAACATGTGATTTATCGTGACTTCAAAGGAACCCTGAAATCTTTACATGCATGGGAAGTCCTGTGTTCCACAGGAATCCTCAAATGTTTACCTGCATGGGAAGTCCTCAAATGTTTACAGTGGCATGGTATGAACTTTCCCACACTGTGATTCCAGTGCATGGGCTGTTCTTCTATAATCATGGCAGAAGGCACCTGCCTCCATGTAAAATGGCCTCGAACGGGTTCGAACGCCCATTTGTGCGTCAGACCATGAATTCGATGGTCAAACATCAAATACCCTGGGAATCTGAAATTGACACATGAATTGTGCTGCCACTGGAGTGGCAGGTACTTGTTGGAAGCAACACCGATTTGGAATCAGGATTCCAAGAGCAACTGTTGTGTTGGACTGTTGGATGAGCAGCTTAAGCTGAGGACCTGGCCTACGCTGGTACAATCGCTCCGGCCATGTCTTGCAGGTTCCGGTGGTGCAAAACATTGAGACTGGAGAGACCTTCGTTGTGTCTGAGTCCATCTCTCCAACAATTTTGGATGTGGATTGCAAGGATCATCAAGGAAGGATTTTGACATGGTCTCGCAAATCTGGTGAGGCCATTGTGCTTTGAAAGTTTGGATTGGCCAATGACTGGATTTTGAACATGCTTTAAGTGTGTTTTAAGAATCGACCCCTCAACAGCCCACACCTACAGCAACGCTCCTCCCAACATTGGAAACTGCCGTAAGTAAACCTCTACAGCAGTGCCTGCATAGGTTCGTTTATAGGTTCCACCGGTTCCACTTCTTTAAAATAAAAATCACCTTTGTGCATTTCGATTCCCACAAAGGTGATGTTGGACAACGAGTTGGCCTTCCAACTGGACCCGTCCACGGGTGCCATCAGCGGCACTCCTCGCTTGAGCTTGCCCGCCACCCAGGGCCGAGCTGAGGTCAACGTGACCTGCCACGTGGCGCTGGGAGGCCGTTTCGATCCATCGGACCGTCAGTGACCGACCGACCGAGCGATGGCCAGCCTAGTAGCCATGGCTTTCAGCCATGTCCAGCCTAGTAAGCCTAGTAGCAATGGCTAGTAGCGCTTAGCAATGGCTTCCAGCCCAACCAGGGCACCCCTTTTCAGCAACAAAACGTCGGGTGGTGGACCCAAACGGGTGCAAGTATCAAACGGGATTCGTATCACGGGTCCCCCGATTTGGATCCACAGTCATCTCAAGGTAA